TATATATATATATATATATATATATATATATATTTCAAATAATCTGAATATAAGAATAATGAAGGCTTCATGGACTCTAAATCTAAAAACTAGAATTCATAGCTATTCAGAAACTAGTAGAATACTGCATTCATTGGTAAATATAACAATCAACATTTTCAAGCAATGGAATTTATTGTAATTAAACTCTGAGTTACCAGTACTTTTTGTGACTTTTAAGCAATGATGATAATTGGCAGTTTAAGCTATATATTGTGACCAAATATTTGTATATTTTCCTAGGAAAAACTGTAATATTCTAGACTGACTGTCTATATTTTCCTTAAATTCTTGCCACATTCTTAACAATGAATCTTTAAAATAAAACAATGACATTATCATATTACAGAATTCTTCAGAATACTTATAAATCATAACTTTTATATATGAAAGTTTGTACCCATAGACAGTGGATAACTCAATAGTTTGTGCTGTTAAAATCAGCTTTGGTGTAGGCATGAAATGACAGTGCATTTCTGATATTTCAGTGTTCAATACCCTACGATATGACTGAATAGTATCAATGACCACACAAGTGAAAGGAAATTGATATGAATCATCAGTTTGGTTCTAGGCTCAAAGTTATGGTGAAATGTCTTGTGTTTTAAGTCTCAGGTTGCAGTTTCAAATAAAGCCTGGTATAAAAGCAAGATTGGAAACCCAATGGTGAAAAAAGTTGTCTGGAAGATCTCATACTGCTAATGTGTCTTTCCTCAGGATCTGTCACTGTGAAGGGGATGAAGAGAGCCCCCTCATCACACCCTGTCGCTGCACAGGCACCCTGCGCTTTGTCCACCAGTCCTGCCTCCACCAGTGGATCAAGAGCTCAGACACACGCTGCTGTGAACTCTGCAAATATGACTTCATAATGGAGACCAAGCTCAAACCTCTCCGGAAGGTATAGTAACCACAGAAATTGATTTGGGAAAAAGAGTTTGCAAAGAAGTCTTGTTTTATAAATTCATTCCCTTCCCCAATAAGATTCTATGAATATACTAATTTCCACAAAAGGTGCATGTCCTGTGTTGGACTCAATACATAAAGCACAGCTATGTCTTTTTATATAATCCTTCTTTCTTCTTTTTTCTTGTTCTATGTTCTCTGAGTTTTATATCAATTTCCACAATACAGATAGTTAGATGATAGATAAATAGTTGGATAGATCAATAGATAAACAGACAGATAGACATATATAAGGACTTACATGTATAAATGTGGAAAATACATTTGTAATTCTATATAACTGAATTGGTGTGAACGGTGCAAACATTAAGGAGCTCTGGTAGCATAGTGGTTAAGGCATTCAGCTGCTAACCAAAAGATAGGTGGTTGCAACTCACAGCTGCTCCACAGGAGAAAGATAAAGCAGTCTGTTTCCATAAAGATTTACAGCCTTGGAAACCCTATGGAGCAGATTACTCTGCCCTATAGGATCTCTATGAGTCAGAATCAACTCAACAGCAGTGGGTTTTGATGAGAACATTGCAGTTGCTGAGGTCAATTCCTAAGAAGATCAGATGACAGATTATATTAAACTATACAAACTCACCTAATGTCTTTAAAATCAGACATTAGGTAATAGAGGAGAATTATTTCTTCCCTAGGGTGGATGCTATTTTGTATTTTTTTTTTTTTTTTTATGTGAGAATTTGGTTTGATGGCTTGTATAATTAGAGCAGGTGAAAAGGAAAAGTATTATTTTCCACATTGTTCATCAAGCTGTAAGAAAGAGGTAAGTATGTTTTTATTTATTTTCTTTATATTCAAATCCCTCATCTATGTAATATTTTTCTAAATGATGATAAGAATGTGAGTCAAATATAAACTTAGTATCTACCTCAAAGCTAGCAAAGGACAACTTGTAAAAGATGCAAACAACAATGAATTTTATATAATTCATACTTTCTACCGTGGCTCAAGGATATTTGCATGTAACTAATTCATCTTTTGCCTAACTGAAGCCTTAAAATACAGATGCCTCAATTTCCAAAGGAGAACATAGAGACTGCAATTTAAATACTGAATCTGCCTAGAGCTGCTTTTTAATTTAAATTAAATGCAAAGCAATACTGGATAAAATGGCCATTGCTTGGAAATAAACATGATAGGTTCCAGGAGGACCATAAATGAAAAACAAACCAGAAAATGCCAATAGACATCTGATTGATGGCTGGTCATTGTCATTCTTCATTAATTCTATAAATTATGGAGTGAGAGAAAGAATTGGTAACAATATTCCCTGCTTCCATAGTAGCTCTGTTTTAAAAATCTGAAAGTGATTTATTGATAACAAAAGTGATGCACAAAATGACTTTGGGATATAGGTTGTCTGCATTAAACATACAGGGTGACCTGAGTATCAGAAAGTGACACTCTGATCCTCTAGGCCACAGAGCAATCAATGCCAGAATAGAAATGGACCCTTATCATTTGCCCTTTGCTTTATCCACAGAACAGATGCTGTGTGCTGTCTAGAGCAGTTAGATGACACATTGTGCTCCACGATTCTGTAAATTTCTCTTCTTACTCCTCAGGGAACTGCAAATTGTTTCATAGCATCTGTGTATTTCTCCCTGGTTTTGTGTTGTTATTGTTTTGCTCCCGACATCCATACAAAATTTTCATTTCAGTTTTGTCAAATATGATTTGCAATTTGAGATCAACAATCTGGGATAATAAAATATTCAAATTTTTTCTCTTCCACACTGTCTTCCACCTCTTTGTGTATAATAAACAAAATTGGATGCTGGGAATCTTGAAAGGACATCATATTCCCCTTTCATCTTTTGTAGATTCACCCCAAAAATACAATTTTGATCCTTTCCTAATATTCCATTCTCAATATGCAGCATTCACAATTTACAACTATATCAGGAAATGCTTTCTCTCTCAACTAGCCTCTTTTTAAACCAGAGAAATCTAATGAATACATCTCTTTTTAAATCTTTATAGTAATGAATATATTATATATTATATAATATATATAGTGGTGTAGTGCCTAAGGCACTTGACTGCTAACCAGAAGGCTTGTGGTTCAAACCCACCAGCCACTCCTGGGAAGGAAAGTTGGGAAATCTACTTCTGTAGTGATACCACCTCAGAAACCAAGGAGGGGTCGCTATGAGTCGGATTGGACTCCATGGCAGTGTTTTATTTTTATTTATATAGGAGCTCTGGTAGCATAGTGCCTAAGGCACTTGACTGCTCACCAGAAGGCTGGTGGTTCAAACCCACCAGCCACTCCTCAGAAGGAAGGTTGGGCAATCTATTTCCGTAGTGATACCACCTTGGAAACCCAAGAAGGAGTCACTATGAGTCGGTCTGACTCCACAGCACACAACAACAATGTATTATTTATATTATTTATAATAATGAACATATTGCTACAATCTAATGGACACCTACTCAAACCAAACCCTGACGTCAAGTGGGATCTGACTCATAACAACCCTTCCTTGGTTACTGAGGCAATATCACTACAGAAGTAGATTACCCAACTTTCCTTCTGAGGAGTGGCTGGTGGGTTTGAACTGCCAGCCTTCTGGTTAGAATAAAATGTCTTAGGCACTATGCCACCAGAGCTCCCATGGACACCTACTAACAGTTGATTAATGAAATCCTCTAGTTTCCTTTTTAAAACATTTTCTTTGGTTTATCATAAATACTGACAAAGGACAGTATGTCAACCTCCCTCAATTTTAGTAGCACTTATATATCTGCAGGGGATATGACAATCTCATCCAGAGGTTGCTTACTGACAGCCCAAAGATGTGTTTTCTTTGACCCACAGAGCTTAATTAATTTCCAACATTTAAACATCTGATTATTTCACAAAAAAAACCTGCACATATCTGAATGTTTGGAGGGGAAAATCACAATATCTGACTTTTCTGGAATTATATAACCATTTGATCACATCCAGTGGAGCTAAGTAGTGACTGACTCCTTGATAAGGCCATTTGCTTTCAGATTCACCACACTTTAACCTTTCTCTTCATCTCTGACACTAAATTCTCATGCCACCTCCATTCATCTGAGTTCCTCTGTGATCTTGGTAGTAGTGACATTATACCTAATAGAAATCCTATAGGACAGAGTAGAACTGGCCCATAGGGTTTCCAGGGGTATAATCTTTGTGGAAGCAGACTGACACATCTTTCTACCTCAGAGCAACCGGTGGGTTCCAACTGCTGACCTTTGGGTTAGCAATCAAGCACTTAACCATTGCACCACAAGGGCATGTTGGTCTTAGTATAGGACTCTGATTTTTCAACCTTTATCCTAACACATGAGTCCTACATGTGAACATACATTCTATTCATTCCTTTTTTTTGTTTGCTTATGGGCTTTACAACTTTGGAAAACTATTTCAAATTCCCCATTTCTCCTTTGTAAGTATAGGACACTGGGATATTTTAAAAGTAGAATCTATAATGACTTTTCAGATTCTGAGGCATTTTGAAAGTGTCCAAGATTATTTATTTTGATGGCACTGAGATTCATCAAAAGTTTTCTTTTGATGGATTTTAAGTGGTCATTAAGAATGCCAGGTATAATGTTTGGTCAGAATATATTAAAAGCACATCCAATTAATTGCTCTCAACTCAGTAATTCCATTACAGTTTATAACATTCTAAAGACCAATAACATGAAACAATTAATTTACCTAATGATTCTGAATCTTACCATTAGCCAATGTGAGCAACAGATTCTCTTTAGATAAAATGGCTTCTTAAAGTAGAAAGATGAAAATCCTCATAGTCTGACAAACCATGGGACTTAATGGCTAGTCTCTAAAGATATCAGTAAAACATTACTTCATTAATTGCTACTTTTACTATAGTAAAATCAACAGTTAGTAAGCTCATCAAGGTATGCTCATGTTTTTAAAAGAAAATCTTTAAAGTCAAAATAAAATCAAGGGGCTTATTCAAGGAAAAGCAATTCTCATCATCTTTAAGTCAGTAACTCAGCTACTTTTACAACATTCAATGAGTGGTCCATTAATCTACTGAGTTACCCAGGGTCAGAAATAATTCTCAGGGACTAGGAAAATCAAAAAGTCACAAATATAAAAAGCACAATGACGATTCAGTGCAATCTGAAAGTGTACACAATATTGATTTGGAAACAGGAACTCATCTTCTGTTCAGAAACTAAAGAACTGCATAGTGTTCAGATTTTAATCACTCCTGAATGGGAGAAACCAGCTATCATACATGAAGCCAAGCCTATGAGGACAGCAGATACTACTGATAACTTTATTTTCTTCACCTAAAATATTTTATTAAATGATTTTCTTTACAGAAACAATTTGACAAATATACAATACTGAATATTCAATTCCCTTCTATTTATTCCTTATCTTCCTCCTATAAATAAAATGGGAGTGAGGTCTAGCGTCGATGAAAGAGGCCTTCAACGAGATGGATTGACACGGTGGCTGGGATGATGGGCTCAAGTATATCAGGGATCATGGAGCTGGCACAGGATCGGGCAGTGTTTCGTTCTGCTGTGCATGGGGTCACTATGAGTCGGAAACGACTCAACGGCACCTAACAACAACAATATAAATAAATAAAATGAGGAAGATAGTCAGTTAATTTTGATTTAACAACTATTTAGTTGATTCAGGGAGTCCCTGGATGATACAAAAGGTTAAGTACTTGACTACTAGCCAAATAAGTTGATCCAGGGAGTCCCTTGGTGGCACAAAATGTTAAGTACTTGCCTACTCAAAAGTTTTACAGTTTGAACCCAGGCAGAGATTCCTCAGAAGATAGGTCTGGAAATCTGCTTTTGAAATGTCACAGGCTTGAAAACCTTATGGAGAAGTTCTATTCTGCATGAGTCAAAATTGACTACAAGGCAACTAACAAAAACAAGGTTGATCAAAAT